TTTCCTCAAGGAAGTGAGGACTATAAGTCTGGTTGAAATAAAGATCACCTGTATCTCTTCAGGAAGACTCCTTTGAAAATGGCATCCATCATGTTCTCAATTTCAAATTTCCTTTCCTGTATCTGAGGAATGAAAGTAATTCATTCAGTTTGATTATTCACATGATCCTTGCCTTGTTTTCTGTATTTCACTGACCTAACTGTTTCCTGTACATCAACACTACCATTCAAAAGTTTTGGGGTCAGTAATACTTTTTTTTCAGCAAGGATGAATTAAATTGATCAAAAGTGAGAGTAAAGACCTTTATAAAGATTTCTATTTTAAATAAAGGATGTTCTTTTGAACTTTCTGTTCATCAAAGAAACCTGAAAAAAAGTATCATGGTTTCCATAAAAAAGTTTAAGCAACAAAATGGTTTTCAATAATGATAATAATAGGAAATGTTTCTTGAGCACCGAATCAGCATTCTAGAATGATTTGACAGTGAAGACTGGAATAATGGCTGCTAAAGATTTAGCTCAGATATTTGCTTTGGTAGACATTTGTATGTCTGTTTGAAATGTGCATGTCACTTACACCAGTGAGTGTTAGAGTATCATATTTACAATGTGATTTAGACCATGTATTATATTTCTGTAGTTATGTTTACTTGCCAAAGCCAATTTTTACTCACACTTAGGACTTGGCAATTGTCAGTTTTAGACCCGGACTACAGTCCAGAATGAAATGTTGAACTCTGTAACCACACATGCGGTCACAGTCTAACCTCACTGATCTTTCTCTGGATCCTGTCCAGCCTCGGAGACGCCCGTTTGCTAGCCATCTTGGCCAGCTCGACCTCGTACAGCCGCTGACTGTTATCGACACTGACACTGAGGTTGAGAGCCACATTCACCAAAGCGCTGAGCAGCTTCACTGCTGCAGAGACACACACACAACAAAACATCAGCTTTCGGGACGTGTGTGTTTGGTTCAGGTCAAGAGGATTTAAAGGGGTCATATGATGCGATTTCAATTTTTCCTTTCTCTTTGGAGTGTTACAAGCTCTTGGGTTGCCGCTCCTTCGTCGGATCCGCCGGCCGCGTCGTTCTCGACCCCGCCGCCTCTGCTCACTCTAGCCCGGCCTCAGCTCACGCTAAGCCGGGGCTTCCGCTCACGCTAGGCCGCTGTGTGCTTCGTTGTGAAAGCGAAACTACTTTGTTTGGTCTTCCAAATTGAGGAGAAACAATAATGTACAGTATGTGGAAAAGAATGTGTTTTTTTACTTTAAACCGCATAAACACATTTCATTACACCAAATACACAAAATAATGTTCTTTTTAGCAGCATCATATGACCCCTTTAAGGTTCAGGGGGAACTTACCTGCTAGCGTACAGGTGTGCCTGAAAGCACGAACTCTGGAATCGGAGAGCTCTGTCAGCAGTGAAATGAGTGTGTTCAAGAGGTAGCCGTCAAAGATTACACAGTTCTGACACTGGGCCACTAGCACCGATACGAACTCACAGAAGTGTGAACGAAACCTCTTCCAGTACAGGCCGGACATGATGAGGGGATACTCGCCACTGTCCTAAGGAGGATGGAGAGAGGATCAAGATGGAAAAATAGTTTTGATTTTAAATTGTGTCATACACTACCGTTCAAAGGTTTGGGTCAGTAATATTTTTTTAAAGAAATGAAGAAATGAAAAGAAATGAAATACTTTTATTTAGCAAGGACACATTAAATTGTTCAAAAGTGACAGTAAAGACATTTGCAGTGTTACAATAGATTTCTATTTCAAATAAATGCTGTTCTTTTGAACTTTCTATTCATTCAAAGAATCCAGAAAAATCTATCATGGTTTTGACAAAAATATTAAGCAGTATAATGGTTTTCAACACCGATAATAATAACAAATATTTATAATGTTCAAATCAGCATATTAGAATGATTTCTGAAGGATCATGTGACACTGCATCACAGGAAAAAATGACATTTTAAAATACTTAACAATAAAAATCAGTTTAAATTGTAATAATATTTTATTTTAATCCCAGACGAGATCTTAAATTAAGTTTCAAAATCAATTGTCAAATGAGGCAACCAAGGCCAACATGATCATACTAATCAGCTAAATTACGTGATGTGTCCTGAACCGTACCATGTCAAGAGGCCATGTGACAGTTAAAATCCATGGAAATGCAAGGAACTTCTTGTATTGTAAACCTGTATCCTGTGATTAAAAAAAAAAACACACACACAAATCAGTAAGAGCAAGGAACATGGGAAAGCAGTCAATGATCAGCACGCTGGATGTCTAACCTCATCCAGATCCTCCACCATTTTACTCATGACATCAGTACCCTTTTTGCTCTGAAACATCTCTGCTGTAACCATCCCTACAAAAGCACAAACAGCATTCACATCCTGAATGACAATATATGTTAGACACAAGCCACAAAACAAAAACAACAAACCACTGAAAATTAACTACTTATATTAGTCAATACTGTTGTGAAATGACATTCTATTATGAAAGAGAGCACAGACATTTCAAAACTTGCCTTTGCATCCTGAACACTGGATAAAGAAGCTGATGAGATCGAGCAGTGCTGTGTCTCTGTCGCCAGTATATGCGTCAATCCAGTCATCCACCACAGCCTTTCACAAAACAAACCAAACATCCATAATAAAGATTTGTTTAAATCTATATGACCTAAAAAGAAGGGCTGATCATGCTGGACGTACCTGCATGGCACTCCTGCCCATGCTGACCACTTCAAACAACGTGACGGCTTCCACATCTCCATTTTTGAGCTGTTCGTTCTCTGCTCTGCCCAGGCTGCCATTACTGCTCTTTGAATGCTTTCGTTTGGCATTCTCAGAGCATTCCCTGGCTTTCCTCTTTCCTCTCTGCACATGACAAAATATACTTCTAAATTAGAAATGTTCTTACAGTAAATCTCAAAACGAAGTCTGTTGTACTGCTATAAAAGTCTATGAGATGTAACGTATTGTTAGGGTTTTAAAAAAACATTGTGGTTTTAGCAGATCTTACCACAGTCTTCTGTCTGTTTTCATTTCTCTCACTTGTGACGTGATGCACCGATGCACAGGAAGAGACGTCAACTACTGAGTTCTCTCTGAAAACAGGATGCACAGGCAGTTGTTTATCTGTACACATAGAACATCTTCAATAATAAAATTTAATTAAATTGGGATATTTAAATAAGGCTGCATTAAATCTAAAACTGTATTGAGTCTGTTTTATAATGAAAATGCAGAGGTAATTTGCAGGTGTCTCACTTTTGCACCGATCTGGACAGTAAATTTGGCTCTGCTATCATCTCCTCTCAGATCATAGTTGGACTAGGAACAAAAGAAAAACAATTTAGAAATGTTAATGATAATTCAATTGAGTATCATGTAAGTGCTTCAATGTTCCTATATCATTGACAATAATATTTGTAACACACCAATTATCAAATATATGTACAAACATGTTATATGCAATCTGCAATAAAATGTAACACTATGCATCTAAAAAGATAACATACCTTTGCATTTTATTTATCCAGTTCACTCTAAATCGAACAAAGAAGTTCTAAAATATTGGCCTTGGTATCCTTATTTTCCATGATATAATGTGTTTTTACTATGCAGCCTAACCCAGTGGTTCTCAACCTTTTGACTCCCATTGTCTATACAAGACAATATTTAAAAGCAATATTTCCTTAGGTACTGCTATAATGTTGTACTGCTTGTTTTTATATATTTTATATTCACAGAAACTATCAATAGATTTAAACATTTAAGAGCTCTTGTTGCAGTGGCTTTCCGTGATTAAATAATTTACCTCAGTAAATGCAAACTAGCAAAATGTTTGTTAAAATATATATATATATATATAAAACATTTCGCTTCCACTTTAACTGAATAAGTCACGTCTCGTAATGTACAGTTTTAAGGTACAGTTTGGATGCAGACTTGAAAAACTCGAGAAACACATACACAAAAACATAAGGTGACAAGTGACCCAATCTTGGATGCCATTGGCTGAGGTGCACGTCAACGAACCAAACCCAAAAACCTGATTGGCTAGTTTGAGTGTCAATCAGAATTCTTCCATTTCTCTGTTACTGTGCCATATTGAAACAAAAGCCTCATATGAGAACCTGCAGCTTCATTCATCTGAATGTGTGAGCGGCTCGAAACGTTAACAAATCTGTCAGGTTTAGAACAAGGCTCGCATGCCAATGAGTTTATTATTAAACTAATAAGCACAGAAAGGACAATCGGGATATAGCTGACTTCTCGGCTTTATTATAGACTTGCTGTTATCTATATGTATATCAAGATAACTATGCAAAAACGCGAGCGCAGCTTAATGAATCTTACCAGTGACAGTAATCTTGATCGGAGGATTAATGTAAACTGCACGTATAGATTTGGCTACTCCCAGTTCAACATAGCCGCGTGCACGTCAACGAGCGCGCGCTGTACGTCTGACGTAAGCTCATGGGAGGTATATTACATAACTTGAGCAAATCAGTTTACCATAATACTGCTACTACGAATAATAAGCTTAATTTATACAGCATTTTTCATAAATACTGCTTAAATAAAGTCTATATGTAAGTGAAAATATAAAACTATACCGTATATAATCATTGAATATAATAAATTCTAATATAATAATAAATACACAAAATTAGAAGGCATTCGCTTCTGATCACCGTGTTTGAGTTTATTTTGCAACAGTGACTGAATGGCTTAGAAGGGTGTAGATATGAAATCACAGGCGTGATGCTGATGAACAATGCTAGCACCATCATGTACAGAATGGAAAGAACATGTGCAACAGTCACTTCAATTATACAGATGCATTATAAAATACATTATTGCACAGGTTTTTTTTTTTTTAAAGAAACATTCATTTTAATTTATGAAAACTCAGAAATCATGAGCCAACAATGCTAAAAATATCTAAAATGGTTCAAATAAATTACTCGTACGTGGTAGTACTCAGAATACACATTTTCCTTTTCATTTTTCAAAGTCTTATATATCTGGATCACATTATCACAGTCTTTCCTGTGGTCTATACAGATGAATAAATCGATTAACACAAAACAAATCTCTATAAATATTTTTTCAGGAGAACCACTTCATTCGGTGACTATTTCTCACCCTTCACTACAGGCACTGTAGATCCAACTGTTAGGAGAGGTTAGAGACAAATTCCATGACTGGATTGAGGTCTTCGGTGAGCTCTTCTGAGAGTGACAGTACCGTTGATATCACATTTTGTGTTGACTCTGACACCCTGTGAAAAGTAGATTCATTAATTATGCTGGATTACTTTTGCTTGACTCTAACAATTGGAAGCAAAACCACTCTCACCAGCTCATGTGACGTGCTGGCAACTGAGGATCCAGCTTCGACCCTTCCTCTTTCGAAAGAGACATCTTCAGCAGCTTGAAATTGGCCTCAATATCCTTTTTTATGATGGAAAATGGCAAAATATCTTTGAGAGAGTTTAGGACTTGCTGTAACAGAAACAAACAAAATGATACACAGAATCAACTTTCTTTGTTTTTTTTGTTTTTTTTTAAAAGGTCACATACTGTAGATAAAATGATGATCAAGTCAAACAAACTCACATGAATTGCTGATAGCTGATGTGCGATGTACTTATGACTGCCCAGATGTTTCACATCTTCATCTAACTGCTGACTGAGAACCAGCAGCTGATTCAGCCTCCCAATATGAGGAAAATAAGCTGAAATGATAAAACATTTCCCAATCAAACTGATTAATCAGCTATGCTTTATTAAAGAACACACTGATTAGGTGTAAATAAATCTTCCTGTGTTTAAAATATGTGAGATTCTAGCACTTTTTAATTGTTTGTTTGTTTTAATATTTGTATATATTTGTATATATTATGATTGTATATATTATACACATACTATAAATGTATTAAGGAGGCGAGCTCACTAAATATTTTTAAAAGATAAAAAATTATTTTTTTTAGAATTAACTTTTAACTAGCAAATGACTTTTATGCAACATTCTATGTTGTCTTTTATTATTACTATTATTATTTCCATTTTTGGTATGCATTTTATGTATACTAAATTTAATTTTTTATTATCATAAAGTGAATTTTTAATATGTTATATTAATTTACTAATATACTTGATGCTTTTTGTAATGTTTTTTAATTATAAAGCACTTTGAGCTGCATTTCTTGTTTGAAAGGTGCTATATAAATAAAGTTTATTATTATTATTATTATTACCCACATAGAGTCTCAAGCACTGGGCAGTGAATGTTACTGTACCCAATTATCATTCTCCCCATTTATTCTGTGGTCTCACCATCTGAAGGTGGTCTTTCCAACATGTCAATAGGGCTGCCATGTATCATATAAACTTCAACTCGAGGGAATAGAGTGGATAATCCTACAACTTCCAAATACTCCTAAAGAAATGGAAATAAATGAAAACACATCATCCAGAAATGATAACTGGGTTAAAAGGAATGGTTAATTGTTTACCTCAAGCTGAAGCACCGGTTCATTGGGATGTTCAAGGCACTGGTTCATCTGATATATTATCTCAGCCCCTATAAACAGAATCAAATTTAGAGGTTGTAAACATATTTGATAGCAATTACCAATTTCGATTTTTAGTAAAAACCATTATTTTATTCCTAAATTTACCTTGTTTTTGAAAACACTCAAACTCTTCAGGACTTGTGTCCTGTTTAAGCTGCTCCTGAAACTGCTAATTCAGATTAGACGTTTGAATGAGACAACATAAGATATATTCAGTGTTCAAAGATCTGAGCATCAGTGTAAGTGTCTCACCTGATGGACCTGAGCTCTGATCAGTAAGTCCAACTGGCTGCAGAGACACAGCATCTCCAGTGCCACCTGCTCACTGCTCAGGTGGATGGGCATCAAGGGCTTCCTCGCGCACACTTCAACTGCAAATATTACATAATCGATAAATAAAACATGAATGCATTCATATTCAGTCAGATGATCATTTCATTAAAAATGCAACTATTATTGAAGAGATCGGTATTACCTTTAAAATGTGGACTGTAATAACAAGGTTTGCAAAGCGGATCCGTCAGACTCACAGCTGCCATTTTCACCTTAATAATCCCACCGGTGACACAGATTCATGTGATTAATACTGTATTTATTGGTTTATTCATCCATTAATGGCGTTTGTCTCATGGCAAAGGTTGGGCTTTTCAGTGGTCCTCTCCATGGTGTTCATTCACACAGCGGCATGAGATGTAAACATAAACAAATCTGGTAAACGACGAGAAACCACGAAACGTATCGTTGTTCTGTGGATCTGCACTAAACTACCTGCCATAGAAATAGAATAAAGTGGTTAGAATAGCCATTTTTATGACACAAATGACTGAATGGGCGGAGCTTGGTCCAAGCGTTGTATTTCTTGCATGATGAGTCGAAATAGCTTCTTTTTTATTTGAACTTTAACATTGTGTATTTTTAATTTATTTGCTTTTAAACGTTTCATAATTATCTATTTAGGTAGGTTTACAAATTTTTGCAAACCGATAGTGAAGCAGCAAATACAGAAGTGGCACGAGGTGTTGTTTTGTTCTCTGCGCTTTTAAGGATGGGCCAACCACAGTCTGGGTGAGAATTTCTGAGGTGAAATTATGTTTTATGTCATACAAATAAATTTAATCGCCTATAATTTTTTTTACTTAACCCTCTGCTATTGTTAATTTGGGATCAAAAGTGACCGAACACGTGAAATGTAACTTTTTCTTATTTTCAGTAAAATCAATGTAATATATTTTGTTCAATAATACTTTTTCATGAGAGAATGAGAGAATTTCATGGTCCAAATAATATTTATGCAATAATTATGATCAATTGTGTAATTATGATTGATTTTTGAAAATAATCATTTTGTTTCTAATATTTTTATATTACTTTAGTTTTCAGTTATGGCAGTATTTCATGTTAAAATAGAGACAATGCCTTCAAAAATCCAAGTGCCATGTGGTGGGAGTAATAAAAGAAAAACACCTGCAATTCCATGGTTTAGCCACTAGATACCTATTTAGCCCTATATAAAAAGGCTTATAAATTCTCTAGTTGTTTTTAGACATAAATACTTACTTTTTTTAAGTTGTGGATTTGGATATATATTTAAACATTCTCAAAGACAACTTTTTGTAAAGGTATAGATTTTTTTGTTTGAAATGTCAGTTTTTGCATTAATTTTACTACAGTCAAACCTGAACACGAAGACATTTTGTTACACAACACCAAAATTCAACAAAAATGTAACAAAAATGAACAGGAATGCTTTATGATTGTTTAATCAATCTGATTTCAACCTCTTATTTAAGTCTTCTGGCTCAATTTTGCCATATTGGTACAGCCACACCAGTTCATTTTTGTGTGTATAATAGTGTGTTGTGTGTGTGTGTGTGTGTGTGAGTGAGCGACATCAGAAATGGATATTATATAATAGATGCTTTTTTGAACATTTTAGCAATTTAAAAATATTAAAAAAGGGTTTTTTTACACGGCACCCCGGTTGGGAAACACTGGTTTAGACTAGTGTAACCCCTTCCTTGGTGTCTGTGCAGTTTTTACTGCATTGTGGCTGAATTACTGATTTTATTTCACCCATTTGCAAAAACATGCATTGTGTGTTAGTCACACTAGTTCATACCATTTTAAATAAATTTTTATGTATAATTTCATACATTATATATTGTTCTAAAAAAAAAAAAAAAAGTACCCATACAAATTTACAATATACAATAATTAGTATTTAAATGCCAGACAAAGAAGGATAACTGTTTAATTTTGTTCTCTAAATATATTTAATTTCACTTTATCAATCAAAGAATCATTAATAAAAGGATGGGGCTATTTCCAATCTTTATTAAATAGTAATAAACATACACATGAAAAATCTTAAGACCTTTTCCATGATTCCAATGAATTATAATAAAACACTGCATATTTAGAAGTTTTATCACGCATATTTAAAGTGACAGGTATACTAAGAAATCAAAGTAAAAAAACAAAACATTTAAATAGTGTGCTGATAAAGAAAACAATACTTACACAGTACTGATATCTTGTATTACAAAAAAACAGACAAGAATTTTTCTGCAAAGTTTCAAAAAAATACAGCTGTAGTTAAAAAATTTTTCTATCACAATCATTTCCTCAAGAAGTGCATCTGAAAAAAATAAATCCGTTAGCAGAACTTTGCCAAGCTATTTAAAAAAAAGAAGTCCTGCTTTTGTCACAATTATTCATTTACATGCTTCGTAATACAAAACAGCAATAAGTTCCATCATATTTCTGCTCCTTTTTGTGACAATATGATACACCAGCAGAAGAGAACACCGGCTGCAGCAGAAAACCTGAATTTCCCTTGAGTTAGGGCTGAATTGATTTACTGATCAGTCTGGTGAAGTTTCCTAAGAGACACCAAGTTATGGCCGTCCACCAGGATTCAGCGTGAGATTAGCCATGAGCTCATGAACCGCTGCAAATATTGTGCACTCTCCTGTTGAAAAAAAAGGCTAGCATTAAAATTGATATGTAAATATAGAAACATTAAATGTTAAACAAATAACTGAGAAATATTATATTCTGATTTCCATATCAATTTAAATATTCATATTCAACAAAACAGATGTGCAAACCTTGTCGTGGTGGATGGTGCTCATTGAACCTCCTGAGGATGGAGCTGACCATCAGGGCCGCGGCTCCCGAAGAGCTGTGCTGGCGGGGGATATCAGCCTGCTGGGTCAGTCCAGTAGCCATGTCATACACAATAGGCACTATGATGCTGATGGGCTCCTGGGGTACCGGTAGCCTCTGGGTCAGCTGGAGCTGTGGAAGAGCATCACTTCAAGTTAATACATGTTAGGAATCCATAGTAAACTCAAACCACAGCCCACACACACAAGTTGCTGGGTGTACAATGGCCGGAATATTAGTGTAATAACAAAATTAGAATTCAGGACATGGTCATATAGGGTGAGATCATATTTTAACCATTGGGAATTGGTTGTATAGTTAAAGGAGACATTGCAAACCAGAATGGAATGATTGAAGCACTTACAAAAAAGAGCATCTTGGTCTTAAGCACCACAGCAATGGTTCCTGGTGGGGCAATGGGAGGAGCGCTGGGTGGGATGGTCAGACAGAACTGCACATTCCAATTCAGCTGGGCCGCTTGGTCTGGGAACTAGAGGAAAAACAATGGGCTAGTGAGCTTCCAAATGAACAATACCACTCAAAAGTTCAGGAAGTGATTTTTTTATTTTTTTGGAAAGAGGTCTCTTATGCTAACCAAGGTAAAAACAGTAATATTGTGAAAAATTACAATTTAAATACCTGTTTTCTATTATAATATATTTACGCATTTTATTCCTGTGATGGCAAAGCTATATTGTTGCTTAAAGCTTTACATTTTCAGAAGCCATTATTTCAGTCTTTAGAGTTACATGATGCTTCAGAAATCATTTTAAATATGCTGATTTGGTGCTTAAGTGATACTTTTTTTTCAGGATTTTTTTTTTTTAATTAAAAAAAAGGTCAAAAGAACAGCATTTATTTGAAATCTTTACTGACCATATTAATGTATCCTTACTAAATAGAAGTATTAATTAAAAATCGAATTGACCCCAAACTTTGGAAACGTAGTGTATGCTTGCACACGACCAAAAATAAAAAAAATTCAAATAAACATGAACGTGCTTACCAACTCCAGTTTCATGATGCGAACACAGTCTCTGAGTATGTTGGTGGGAGCTCCCAACAGCTTTGTGAAGGCATTTAGTGTGTTGTATTTAAAGGGTGGTCCTGCAACCTATGGTGAAAGTGAAAGAGAATGACTTGCATTTGCATGACTGCAGAATACCTGGCTTGATGGTATGGCCAAGATGGCCACTGAGTGAACAGATTTGCTTTAAATATGAAAAAAAAAAAATGCACAGTTAATTGCAACCAACAGAATAGTGAAGATAAGTGTTTTCAAACTAGTTTTAAACAGGTAGTCCCAAACTGACATTAAGCCAGTGTTGTTAAATCAGGACGAACAGGACATTCAAACAAACACATTACAATTCTCTCAGCTGCTACCTTCCAATACATAAACTGAACAAGAGGAAAATTTGACCTTCATGATAGTTAGTGAGTTGATGCAGTGAGTTTTTTCCTACCCTGGTCTCAAAGAACTTCTCCAGGACCTGCAGCTCCTCCTGCGACCAGGGTCCAGTGTTTTCTGGTGTGACTTTCAGCTGCAGAGTCTGGTAGGTTTTGGGGTTTAGAGCCACTCTACATTTAAGCACTTCTGTCTTAAACATGATGACGCCTGGTTCGTTGGAGTTCACAATAGTAAGCTGTTAAGAGAAGGTAATCGAGAGTGATGCAAATACAGTGTATAAGCAGAATCATATCACTCTGACTTGTTAAATTATGTGGTTATAACAGTTTCTGACTCACATTGGGTTCTAACTGTATGATTCTCTGTAGGTGGCGTCTCATGATGACAGAACCCAGGAAGCGCTCCAGAGGTGAGCACAGGTAGCTGCCCGCCAGCCCTGGCACTGGGCATGGCATGGGTGAAGGCAGAAGCAGCACATGTAGTTTGCTGTGGGTGAGGATGGTGGGAATAGAAGCGGCCCAGGACCGCTGTGGCAGTTTACGGGGTGGAGGCATTGCCTGTGAACCTAAACACAAACACACATAGTGATTGATTGAACAAAATCAACTACTGCTTATTGCTGGAAGTCATATGAAATGCAAATAATGTTAAATTCTCTCATTTACACTACTTTATTTTTTGGGGGGAAATTTTTAGTTTTATTAAGCAAGGACATGTTAAATTGATCAAAAGTGACAGTAAAGACATTTATAATCTTACAAAATATATACAATATATATATATTTTTTTAACTTTCTATTCAACTAGAATCCTAAAAAAATTATCATGGTTTACACAAAAATATTAAGCAGCACAACTGCTTTCAAAATAAGATGAATTGTTTCTTGAGCACCAAATCAGCATAACAGAATTATTTCGGAAGGATCATGTGACACTGAAGACTGGGGTAATGGCTGCTAAAAAATTCAGTTTTGCCATCACAGGAATAAATGAGTAAATTCAATTTAAATTATGTAAAAAAAAAAAAAAAAAGCTATTTTGATGTTTTTGAATTTTACCTTGGAGAGCATAACAGACTTCAAATACATTAAAAAATCTTTACAAATCAAATTTTTTAACGTCGAACCTAGGACAAACTAAGTAATTATCGGGAGGATCTAGGTTATATTTTACCCCAAAATCA